GGTATTTCATGTTTGAAACATCCTGAATGAACTAGGGATATTTTAAAATCCATAACAGGAAATACAAAAGGCTAAATATTAACATATTTTTACCTAGGAAAATGTTTCCAGACAACATTGTTGGAATGACCATGTTTAGCGTACGTCCGAAAATTTTAACAGTACACACATTACCAGAGTTTTGTTGTACGGTATTTTAAATACTTATTGGTTCTTCTATATTGCTTGTTCTTCGCTAAAGTATTAAACATGATTTTTTATCAAATAATTAAAGGAAAGACTTAGTAAAGGTGCCCTGTTTGCCAACTGACCAATATGTATTAAATTTTAGGCACAGACTGTGTATTTCTGGAAAGATGAAAATAAAACCGAAAGATATTCTGAAAGAATTAACGAAAACGCCACAAATCTGATTGGTACGTGATTCATATATTTGCTTCGAAGTTATAGTGTTTGCTTGACTGTTCGTTTCCATGCTTTGCTCGCGCACTTTTCAAGACCAGGGTTCACTTATTTCAATTTATTATGTGGTAATAAATATTGCATTTAAGCGGTGGGTGGAAAACGCAAAAGGAAAAGTTTTCTGAAGGCACGGATGCAGAGACAAATACGAAAAATGTGAAGAGGTGAAAAGACGCTTCATGTTTTGCCGATGCAAGGAATAATTCGAGTCCTCTGACGTCCTTGTCTAAGCAATCGCAACTACTCCTTCTCGCTGCTTGTTTTATAATGATGCGACTTTGTGGGATGGTTCTGCGCTAGCCGACGTAGTGATTGATAGCGCTTTTTCTATTTGCTGTCTGAACAGCGGAGACATGTAGGCTTACTTTACTGAGACGATTGAGGTATGGAGTAATGTTCAGGACTGTGCAATTGAAGATGATCAAACATTCGTTTTACAGACTGGCACTTATCAATAGTTATGAAAAATCAATCGATGTCTAACCTCCACAACACTGATGTTTCTTGGAATTGAGGGTCTGTTAACTAGGCTGGAAATGCCTTCAGCAGTCGATTTATGCGGTTTATGGTTCGATTCGGAGTGCAGACGCCGCCGTAGAACTACTTGAATAATGAGCAGGATAATGATACCGATAAAAACAAGGAAGACTGAAATGACCATTTGCGGTTCATTGACTATCAGTAGTATGCTGTTCCTAGCTAATTGTGGCTCAGCTACCGGCATTTGGTTGTTCAAAGTATACAAAAGTGATTTTCTATCGAACTACGTTTAATAAACCTCTGCGGTGCTCAAAATCATGATTTGAGGCAATGTGTCCTCGTCATCTCCTCAACGAGCTTGCAGTGTCCGCTAGAGTTCTGTTAGTCTGATGTCTTTTTCATTTAAACAAGCCTAGTTATAATTTTTCATGAATGGAAGGATATATTAGGAGGCCAAATCTGATTTGTTGTGTAACCCTACCGTCACATCACCAATTGCGTCTAATAGGACTTACTCCTTTCCTCATATTCTTATTTAATATAAATTTTGTTCACACTTTACAGGCGTTCTTCTCACATGTATCGCATTCGGCCTGGCAGCGAGGAAGGCAGGGGAGATTGGAAAGCCATTCTTGGATTTCTTTCGGTCCCTCGCTGGGGTCGTTCTCAAACTCGTACAAGTATTTTTGAAGTAAGTTCCATTAACTACCAAATTACGCTTAATCACATATCAGACGGAAAAAAGAATTCTTTTTGCTTTGAAAAATAGCCGCAGATACTGAAATGATTTTGAATATGTTAATGTAAAGCATTCACAGACAGCATATTATCAGCAACGCATTTGAATTTTTTCAGGTGCACACCAGTCGGAGTTGCCTTTATGATCGCTTCCGCCATACTGAATGTCGACGACATTAAGGGAGCGTTTGCAGGCTTGGGAATGTTTGTTCTTACAGTGACGGTGGGTATCAGTGTCCTGTTCATCCTGTGCATAACCGTGTATGCGGCACTCGCTCTTCGAAATCCCTTTGGCTTTCTACGCTACATCCTAAAAGCCTGGTTCATCAGCTTCGCAACCACCAGCCCGTAAGCTCACATAAATAGCGAACCATTAGCGTCTGTGTTTTTGAACGTAGATGATGTCTCCTGAAATGGTTACCCAAAAATTTTTATACGCCGATGCATGAAACAGCAACAACGTAACAAAGAGGAATCAGATAGTTCCACTTAAGCGCCCAACACAAATACATGGCAATTCCTTCCTTATATAAGGAATGTGTCTGAACTTGTTGAAAGACACTTGCGGAAACACC